CAGCGGTGGCTGTGAAATAGTTTCTAAGTGCGATAGTGTAACTGGATCGCGACTGAGCTTTGGTGACCATTAGATAATGCTGTATGAAAGTCGATTAATACCTTTATATTCACACTGCACTTTACAGTTTTTTTTGCAAACCGAGATAACTTATTCTTGTGATTATGATATTATGTTTATTTTGCCAGCGAGCAACAGAAGCCATAAATTAGTGACCAAGTGTAAATCAGGGACTCCCTTTAATGGAACAAGCGTTTTCGTCGAAAAGTTATCCGATTTTATCGTTTTACTATTGGCTGGTTTTTGCACAGAGGAAATGTGAAGCAATCGTATCTATCGTTGTTGTGCATGGCATTACATGTCAGCCGTTAGATTTGAACAGATTACGCGTTTTGGTCTCTGTGTAAAGCAAAAAATCATGAGGGTTACTACGTTTATCTTTTTAACGAAACCCTCGAGAGAGGCTATTCCCAACTGTTTATAGTCATCTGGAGAGAAGATGTTGATTAGATTGAATGTAGTGTGCTATCCATGAACCTATAACAACCTGTAAGCTGACAGTTTCTGTTTAATTGCGAACTTCCCGAATCACACCACTGTCGTCAGCATATGCATACGCGGTATGGAATTTCTTTTATAGTATTGAAACATCATTATTTAACCATGGTCTGCTGTGCAGACAAATAAGGAACTGCGCAGGTTCACCCCCTGCCCGCCATGATGAACACAGTCGAATGCTGCGTCCACTGCTGGAGAGCAAACTTGCAATCGCCCTAAGTGCGATAGGGCAAGTAACGTACAAAGTTCGTTTCTGGGATTACGTTTCGAATGCGCAAATTCGTCAGCGAACTGTATTAGCGGACGTGATTTGTGCCTTCTGTGACGCCAGAAAAAGATAAGCCGGCAACCTGGCTCTAACATAAACGTCCCCTCGGTCGTCTGAAAACATGCTGGGACGAAATTAATTCGCCAGTGATAATGACACTGAACGCAGAAACCTAGAGTACGTCCTACTGCTATTTGCTTTAAGTAGTTGTTCATAGAAGCCAAAAGAGAGAAGGTTACGAATGTTGCCGCTGTTACTGAATTTCCAAAAACGCTTATACCGAAAAAACCCTTATAGCTTGCTAGTCAAGTCAGTTGAAACTCATGGAATTTCAGCCTTCTCTATAACGAAAGGAACTTAGGCTTTCACCCGCGCAACGACGATATGAAACTTGGCTGGTCAGTGTTATGATTCTTAATGAGCCTAACAGAAAGCGCCTAGAGCCAGGTCGAAAAAACGTTTTTTTTTGTAAAATATTAAGGGCGACGACGGATTTTGGCATCACTTTTGCAAAAATTGAAATCAAATCATGACACCAGGGATTTGCTATTAAAACAGACATCGCAGAAAGCGGTGACGAATTTTTGCAAAAACGCGAAGCTATATTCCGACAAACCGAGCAAGCTTCTTGCACTTAAAGCTTGAAGTTGCTTATGGAAGATTTCGCTAGAAATGAGTTTAGGTGTCGATGACATTTTTGTAATGACTTCGTCGAACACACTGTTGCCGTTCGTTTCGTCGTTGAACCATAGCATAGATTGCGTGACGGTACAGGCAGCGTAAAGTCAAATTTCACGTCACGTTGCCATAATCCACTTTGATTGTAAACGTTTTTCATTCACTGATCGAACCGTACTTTCTCTTTACAGATACTGAGAACCATTTTCGCTTTTTTTTCAAAAATGATGTTTATTTGGTATACACTGGTCTGTATTCGTGATAGGGCCTACTTTTAATATTCAGCATGTTATTAAACCAATTATTTTACGTAGATACGGTGTTTGTCCACTGCTCCAGCCGAAATAGCATAAACGCATGATACCATGTAAAGTTGAATGTCATGATAGTAGATTTTGCAGACTTTCTCTGATGCGAATGTTATTACCCTCATTTGAAATCAGTTAGCCAGTCCACACATGACCACATGAAAGAAAATATTTTAGTGTTCTGAACGAACGTTACTGCGTTCCCGAATACAGCACAGCAGTCATGTCCGGTGGTGTGGTAACAACGATATCGACCGGTGGCGTTTCGCCTCCGAGCTTGGCCAATACGCGTTCTTCGCCAACGTCGACGCAGGAAAACACAATACTGCCGGCGAACTCGAACACGAGCGCATCTGCCGCATCCTACTTGCCAGGTGTTACATCCAGTGTACCACCTTCGAAACCACCACGAGTCGTACAGAAGCCCCGTCCGTTGCGTCTTGGTAGTGTTGCTGGAGGACGTTCATCTGCGTGGGATCACGGTTCAACAACGAATCAACTTTTTTCTGACTCCATGCCCATAGGTATATGACAAGCACGACCGACAGTACACCCTCATTGAAGTCAGATGTCGCATTTAGGTGAACTGTTGACTCTCATGGAGCAGGTGAACAGAGCGGTGAAATCAGGCCATTTCACTGTACTTTTAGCTAACCAAATCCATCGATTATACAACCAGCTGAAATACTGCGGGGAAATGCTTGAAAATTCAAACAAAAGTAAGCAGAAATCGGATGACGTTTGTTTTGATGTAGGAAATTTTAAAGATAGTAATTTTTATCGCGCTGCAATGGTAGCAATTTGTTCTTTCCCTTTGTGAAAGGGAGAGTTATTTTATGCATATTGTATGAACAGCAGCCGATATCAGTGTGTGTTAGTAGATTCCGCATTCGCTGAAAGCAGATAACAACGAAATGCATCTGTGGTAAGCGACGTCAAATAGTAGCTTATTCTGCTCTGAATCTTTTGTTCTGTTATGTTAATTTTACTCGTTTCTCCTAGAACCGTGGTACAATTTGATTCATGCGATTCATTCGAAGCAGGCTGTTCTTTTCACAACACCGGGTAGGAGGCTTCTGGGAGCCTTTTCAATGACCCGGTTTGTCCCCAAACAAGTAGTATCCGTGATCTGGATGATAAGGCATGACAGTGCCCGTTCTTCTCCATAATCCAGCTTTCTGATCCGTCGTTGGCCACAGTGCCTTCTGTCCTGTTTCGTGTATATTTGGCTAAAGAAAAGCGCCTAGCAAGAGTCTCCTGTGGCAGATTCATCGCATATTCAAACTGTCGCAGTTGCGATCTTTCGAAGTGGAGAAGGAGTAGCTCACGGTTTAGGGTATCCAGGTCTGCGTGTTTGGAACTTTGTCTAGTTTCGTCACAACACCTACAGGATGGCACGTATCATGCAGTGCCTGGCGTATATCGCCATACCGGAGTAGGTGCACATGTACGCATTACGGATGTGCAGCTTCTTCCTCGTCACAAATAACTGGTTTACCTCTATCAACGTAGCGCCCAATTGGCTGACACGTGCATCTTTTTTCACTTCCTTCCTCACATCACTCTTGAACGCCACCCTAGTCTGTGTTTTCCGTCAGGAGGGTGGAGTTCGTGTTAGTTATTCTTTTCAAGGCTGTCGACTTCTTCCAGTAGCGATTCATAGTGTGACTAGATTCAGTGCATATAATTTCTGTACAAAACTGAGCTTCAGCATACAAGTGTTTTTCCCCTGGGGAACTAGTCAGCAATAAAGTATTAAGTATGGGGTTAACCAGTACCACCATCCCTGTTTTTCCTGGCATGATCGGGTAGGTTCCAGGACAGAAGATACATCAACCATAGGCACTGTGTAATACTCTCATTCTTTAGCAGTCTGGTTCCTTTCCTGTCAGAAAATTCTATTTGCAAAGATTCGTGCTGCGCTCATTTTACCGGTTCCATGCTGTACCGCTATACTTTGTTTTTTGTTCGTTACGATGCATCTGTAGTTCGAAACGGATAGGGAGTCCAGTGATAGGAAAAGACGTCTTGCTCGGCTTCAGCGCACGTGATGCTGCACCAGACTCCGAAAAAATTTTCTCTAAATCAGAGAATGTTGACACGC